CGACATTTCCGAACAATCCGACAGTGCCGATAAACCTAAATTTTACATGTCCCGCAACTTTTGAAAATAGCTGTAATCAAAATCTTGAAAAAAAAAAAAATAATAATAATGGTTCACTATTTTTTTTACGAGGTACCAAAAGTGGAATATTTTATGTATCTTACCAAATTATGTTTTTGTCTAGATACTTTCAATTTCAAATGATCCAAAATCTTTACATTCATGACTATTGGTTAATAGATATTTCAGTCAACTTGTTGTTCGTATTCTGTGGAGGAATGCTTTCAAATTTAATGTACAAAGGTAAGAACGAGGACATCTTGTAATCTATTCAATGGGTCAAATAATTTACGTGATTTGGATTTCAATTTTAACGAAGCCAGTGATAGAGAAAGGAACTGCCTTGTTTGAAATTCTCCAATCAATATTGATCATTACTTAAGAGATGAATACGGATTTACCTTATACACTTAAAATGTGATGGATTCCTTGATCAATAATTATCGAGATGTAGAATTTTTACTGACAACATCCCATGTTATTTTAGAACATTGAATTTTATGAATTTCCGATTGATGGTTTCAATGACTTGATTTGTGAATTATGCTCCTTAAAATATGTTAGGTTTACGGAAAGTACAATGAAGATTCGATGAATTATTGCTCAAAAAACGAAGAACCATTTTATTATAAACTTTATTGACACGAAGAGGAAGGGTATTTCTTGTATTCCTTTCTACGATAAGAACTATGATTAGATTTACTCGTCAATAAAGCTCGTGTAACATTAAAACATCAATCAGCAATTTTTCAATTGGTCCGGATCATAAATTAATTATAACTTAACATCCCTATTTTCAACGAAATATTTGATAATATTTTTATTTTGTTAGGCGTCAAATTTAGAAATGACGGGTGGCGCACAGAAGGTTTTAATACGAACTTGCCTCTTCTAAATTAAATGAAGTGTTCACTTTTATACATTGAATTCCTATCGCTATAATCCTTTGCTTCGAACCCCGTATTTCTAACTTCTGTTCTCTTCTAAATCTATCCCTTAATTGTTTCCATAGGGAGATTGTCTTCTCATATAACTTTTATAACGTAGGAAAAGCAGCGCCGATCTACAATCTTTTACACGGAAAAATTTATTTTTGACCTTTCCCATTATGGAGAATGAGTCGTCGTACTTGAAATAAAGTTTCGGTCAGGTAAATTAAATCTACCGAAAAGTGCATCAAAGTTACGATATGTTAAAATTGTCAAAAATCCTAATTATGAATTTTGACTTGAGTTCTTTAGTTAATTACTTTGTGTTAGGAGTTATAGGTTGGCTCACTTATAAAGTATATATTTGGCCATATTTCATTTTTTCTTTGAGAAAACTTCCTGGACCACCTTCCGATAGTCTTTATTACGTGAGCTGGCAAAGCTTCTTTGTAAATGAGGTTGGCAAATATTTTCTTACTAAATTAATCCAGTTTATTTTTTCATTAATTTTTTTTTTTTTTTTTTTTTTAAGACTGGTGAACCGTATGTCAAATGGGCCAATCAATACGGAAATTTTGTAAAATATCATGGATTATTAAATAAACAAGTGATAATGGTTACAGATCTAAAAATCATACAAGAATTCCTTACAAATCAAACCTAAATACATTGATGGGTGCTTTTGCATCTGTTCACCTAATTTTTTCTCACACAATTTAGAATATGGCTCCAACATTTGTTAGTGTAGCTTTTACATTAAAAAGTTTGATAAAATTAATAAAGGAGAATCGAAAATTAATCTGACTCCTTACATTCAAAAAGCCTTTAGATGTCATTGGCTTAGTTGGTAAGGAAAAAATCTATATATACAGTACATGTACATGGATCTTATAAATTTTAAACATTATTAATTTTTTTAGGATTTAATCACGAATTTAATTCATTAACGTCTCCAAATGAATTGGCCTAAGCTTATGAATCTCTTATGAGTTTTAAAGTTACTATTGTAACCGCCATTTTATCTAGTTACATTCCTTTTATGAGAAGAATTCCGATAGCTTTGAATAAAAGATTCAATAATGCATGTAAAGTTATTGAACGTGAATCGAAAAGGTTGATTGAAGAAAAGTACCATGCCGACAAAAACAACGAATTGAATGGTAATGATCTACTGTCTATATAAAAAATGAATGAAGATGAATTGAAATACCAGGTAATTAAAAAAAATTTTTTTTAAAAAAAAATACTTATCATTTGTTTTAATTTTTTTTTTTTTGTTATTCGGATATTTCAGGTCATGACATTTTTATTTGCGGGACATGAAACTACAAGTAATGCAACAAGTTGTGCTTTGTTTTTGCTTGCACACCATCCACATGAACAAGATTTGTTACGCGAAGAATTAGTTAAAGCTTTTCCCGATAGATCAAAATTTAATCCCACCTTTGATGAAATTAATTCTTTGGAATATTTAAATTGTATAGTTAAAGAAACATTAAGATTAACTCCTCCATGTAATAATATAATTTCTTTTTTTTTTAAAAAAAAAAGAAAAAAATTTATAATCATCTTATTAACAAATCTAAATTTTTTTTTATTTTAGCCGTGGTTATGTTCCGAACCAATTTTGAAGATAAAGTTATTGGTGGACATTTTATACCAAAAGTAATTTTGTTATTGAACATATATTGTTCTTTTTTTTAAAAAAATATTCTTTAATAGGATACTCAAATTGATATTCCAATCGTGGGCAATTTCCATTTGGGACCAACGGCTGATGAATTTGATCCAAAAAGGTGGTTAAATCCTTCGTTAATTGAAAATATAACGATAACAAACTATCATTATTTGCCTTTCGGAACTGGTATTAGATCCTGTATAGGTAACAAATTGGCCTTAAATGAATTTAAAATATTATTAAGCATGCTTGTCAGAAATTTCGTTTACATATTAAGAAAAGGCCTGGTTTTCTAACTCGACTCGGTCCATATCTTGAACTTAACGTTTCTAAGGTTGAAGTTTAGACATAGTATATATATAGGAAGATTTATGTTCGACAATAACGTGTAAATAATGAAAATAATGGAAAAAAATACGATCAACATCCTAATAATTATTGATCGTTTTGCTATTATAAGTAAAGTCTTCTTAATGGAAGCTTAAATTATTTGTCATACATTTATGCAGACAGATCGTAGGGAAATAATCAGGAGATAATAAGAGATTTTGTCGATTTGCGGTTAAAGAAAAAAACATTCAGATAAATGTGATTATAAAGTACGTTTGGAGTGTATATTTTTATTTATTTATTTTTTTTTTTTTGTTACAATATTTCACATTTTTTTAAAAAAAAAAGAAAACGAAAACAACATCCAATTTAAGAAATTGAGCAATTACATCTTACATTTTATATACCAACGTTACTCAAATTATCGTATAAGATAAATTTAATAAACTAACCACAACGAATACAAATAAAATGTTAGAATTTAGTTCTTTAGTTATTTATTTTGTTCTTGTATTTGTAGTTTGGTTTACTTATACAGTATATATTTATCCATATTATATTTCTCCTTTGAGAAAAATTCCTGGTCCACCTTCCGAAAGTCTTCTTTATGGAAATTTCAAACCACTTTTCACAGAAGAGGTCGGTTAATATTTTTTTAATTGTAAATTACTAAATTGACATACATTTAATCATTTTTTTTTTTTTAGGCTGGTGAACCTCATTTTAAATGGGTGAAAACATATGGAGATGTTCTAAAATATCACGGATTATTTAATAATCCAAATCTTGTAGTTACAAATGAAAAGTTAATACAAAATATTTGTTTAAACCAAGGATATGAATTTATAAAGCCCAAAGGTATGTTGGGTGATCTTTTACCCCTCGTTGAACAAGGTATTGCCTTTGCAGAAGGAAAAGTTCACAAGAGACAAAGAAAAATGATGAATCCTGCTTTCAATTATAATAACCTTAAAGTACGTATAATTCTTGTAATACATAAAATTAAAACAAATCATTAAAAGTTTTCTTCTTTACATCTTTCACATCTTTTAGAATATGGTTCCAATCTTTTCTCGCGTAGCCCTTAAATTAAAAGGTTTATTAGAAGATAAAGTGAATAAAGGGGAATCAAAAATCAAACTTACTCCCTATATCTCTAAGGCGACTTTAGATATCATTGGTATAGTTGGTAAGATACTATTATATATACGTATATATATATATATTACATACATGGATTTATAACGTTTCCTAACTTCTTAAAAAATAATTATAGGATTTAACTACGAATTTAATTCATTAACTTCTCAAAGTGAATTAGCAGAAGCTTATAATACTATTGAGGGTGGTGAAGAAATAAATATTTTACGCATTATTATTAGTATTTTATCTTTTTATGTCCCATTTCTTAGAAAAATTCCTTTAGAAACAAACAAAAAATTTAATAACGCATGTAAAGTTACTGAACGTGAATCGGAAAAATTGATGAAAGAAAGAAATCGTGAAGACAAAAATAGAAATGATTTGTTATCTTTATTATGTTACAACAACGAAACTTTACCCGATAATGAAAAAATGACTGAAGTTGAGCTAAAATACCAGGTAGTTAAAAGAACACAAGTATTTTTTTTTTTAAAGAAAAGATTTATTGTCATATTTATATCATTTTGCTTAATTTTAATTTTTTTTTTATGTCGTCTGATATTTAAGATCATGACATTTTTATTAGCGGGACATGCAACTACAAGTAGTTCATCAAGTTGGGCTTTATACTTACTTGCACAACATCCACACGAACAAGATTTATTACGCCAAGAATTGGTTAAAGCTTTTCCCGATAGATCAAAATTTAATCCCACCTTTGATGAAATCAATTCTTTGGAATACTTAAATTGCATAGTTAAAGAAACATTACGATTATTTCCTCCAGGTATTACTTTTAAACTTTTTTTGATAAATCTATGTAATAATTTATTTAACTACCAACTTTTAATTCAGTTGCGACTTTGCAACGTTGTAATATCAAAGATGAAGTTTTTGGTGAATATTTGATTCCAAAGGTATATAATATATTTCATTATTGTTATTATTTTTTTTTTTTTAAAAAAAAAAAATCCTTCAAAATAGTATAATAATAAATAATTCTTTATTTAAAAATAGAATACTACAATTGATATTCCAATTGTAATGCTTCATAGATCACCTTCAATTTGGGGACCAACGGTCGATAATTTTGATCCAAAAAGGTGGTTAAATCCTTCATTAATTGAAAATGTAACAAACTGTAATTATATGCCTTTCGGTATTGGTGTTAGATCCTGTATAGGTAACAAATTAGCCTTAATTGAATTGAAAGTATTATTAAGTATGTTTGTTAGAAATTTTGTATTTCAACCAGTTGATGGATTACGTATGAAGAGAAAGGCTGGTTTCATTTCCGGTAAACCTAATTCACATATCGAATTATTTGTTTCTAAAGTTGAAGTTTAATAGGAATATCATCACACGTTAACTTTTCTTAATGATATAATTATTGAATAAATCTATTTTTCTTTACATTTCTAAAAGTTTACGTGTATTGGTTAGAAATGGAAACTTCCCCAATAAAATTATCCAGAATTTACAAAAGTTATGAATTCTTGATTACAACCAAAAAAAAAAATTGTTATTATTTAGTAACAAGCAGATTTAACGAATCATTAAACTGAAATTGTGGTAATCTAATATACAAAAATGAATTACTCCAACAATAACCAAATAAAAGTTTGACGAAACATTTTTAAACAATTCCATATTTCATTTCATTCGGTAGGAAGTTAAGCAAAACATTTACTGATGAAGCGTTATAAATACTTTATTTTTTTTTTTTTGAACGTTACTTTGTTTTAAAATATACTTGCCAATTTTATTTTCATGTTAATACAACGTTTTAAGGTAATTCAAAAAGAATTCTTATTTTGGGATTTTTTTTTTTTTTAAAAAAAAAAAAAAAATGCAAATTTGTAATAATCCCCCTTTTTTAACAACTCAAACCTAAATAAAATAGGATTTGTTAGTTTTTAATTAGGGGGTTTTTTGAAATTCAAATTGTTTCAAAAACTCATTTAAGTTTTTTTTTTTTCCTTTTTCTAAAAAAAAAACACCTTAGTCGTGTAACTCTCTCTAACAGC